GGTGGTGATTGCACAGAAGTTGGGGTGGGTGTCTGGATGACGATATGAATGCTTGGTAGTGCTGATATGCCCCAATGACGTGGGCTTCGCCAAGGCAGAGAAGGAAGAGAAAATGGCCATCAGAGTCTAGAATCTTCATGGAGAAGTTGTGCAATGTATTGTCGAAGGCTTTCATGGCTGGAATCACTGGGTGTTGTAGGTTTTTCCGGGCTATATGGCCATGTTCTAGAGGCATTTTCTCCTGATGTTTCACCTGCATCTATGGCAAGCATCCTCAAAGGTAGTGAGGTCTGTTGGTAACTAGGATAATGGGTTTATATATCTGTGGAATGACCAGGGTCTGCTGTGTACTCTGACATGGTGGTTGTGAGAGTTGTCCAGCATTTCACAACCACCATGTCATAGTACACAGAGAAGCCATTGAAATCCACAAGCATGTGGACAATTTCAACAGAAAGGAGGAAACCATAAAAATGAACAAAATCTGGCTACCAGTATTAAAAACCTCAAAAATTACAACAGCAAAACAACAGAGAGTAAACAATCAGGCACATCAAATCACCTCTCAACAAAAGATTCCCCATGGCACTTCCAAGCCATTAAATGCTAATCAAGGTGGTCAGTTGAAACATTCACACATAGCTCCTTTGTCCCACCCTGGTCATTCCACAGATATATAAACCCATTTTCCTACTTCCAACTGACCTCACTACCTCTGAGGATGCTTGCCATAGATGCAGGCGAAACGTCAGGAGAAAATGCCTCTAGAACATGGCCATATAGCCCAAAAAAACCTACAACAACCCAAGTTGTGCAATGTTTGAATATCATTGTAGACATTCTGGTGAAGAGCAAAGCTCCAAGGTAACTACGGTGGAAGGAAAATAGGAACTGCGGAGACGCTGTCATTGCGCCTTTTATGCCCTAGAGAGGAGTGGGTAGGGTTACCACCAAAATTTGAAGCTAGAATTTGGAGAAGATTTCCATTAGGACCTGCACAGATGCAGTTTAGTGTCAGTATAATGGTTTTACTAATGTGAAATACAGCTTATAGTTTAATACTCTGTCTATGTCCACTGCAGGATGGCATGCTATGCAAGGGTTAAAAGCATAGATGTGATTTATTGCCAGAGTGTAAACTGTGAACAGTTCCAATGAAGAAAAGTTGAGATAACAGAATGCTGGGCGTTCTCTTTCAGCCATGCTGAAGATCGAGCAAGACGAGTGTATGATTTCTCCTGTAAATAGTTCTGTTTGTTATTTTTCTGTAGCTGTTAGAAAGTAACTAAATAAATGTGCTGCTTCAAGGCTTTGAAGCCGATGGAAGGCTGTGTACTCTGTTTCTTTGCGTGCCTCATTGCAGTTGCCCTGAGGCCGAATTTTACCAACAGTTAGACCGATGTGTGCATTCACAGAGACCACAAGAAAACTGGTGAGCAGTTTTGTTCCAACTATACCTGGAACAAAGCAAATTGAGCAGCAGCCAGAAGTGTAATGAGCAAAAATAACTTTGTTGTAGAAAGATGGTCTTTGTGGCACAAGTTCCAATGAATCACCTGCGCAACGGTGTTGTGCCTCTCCTTGTAGTCTGTCTGTGTGATCTTCTTGCAGCAGCTGAGGATGTGATCTATTGTTTCATCTGCTTCCTTGCAGAGTCTACACTTGGGATCTGTCGTCGACTTTTCAATTTTGGCTTGGATGGCATTGGTTCTAATGGCTTGTTCTTGGGCTGCCAGAATCAGGCCCTCCTTTGTCTCCTTTTTCAGAGTTCAATTTGTGAGCCACAGCCATGCTTTTTCTTTGTCAATTTGGCTCTCAATTTTTTCCAGGTACTGTCCATGGAGAACCTTCTTTCGCCAGTTTTCTCTTCTGCTCTGGATTGTGTTTTTACAGTAGTCACTCTTTTATTTTTATTCATGTTTTAAAATTTTAAATATGAACAGTCAGTAAATTAAAAGAAAAATGGATAGCAAGAATTACTTTTTCTTATATAAGTCGAAGTTTTGGAATTTTACACTCTTCAAGTTAAAGGAGTATTTGAAAGTCTTCTCTATGGTCAAAGATACTCATTTTTGAGACATGAAGTCAAGATGCAAATAAGTTGCTGCTCTTCAGCTGTTTGCTTTAAAGGATGAAAGCCTTGTCAGCTGAAACACTTTCAAGTCAAGACGAGAAGAAACTAATCTCTCCAGGAATGATCCAAATTTGACAAATATTTGACATCTTAAGAGCTTTCTTTGCCAAGATATATGAAATTACAGCCATTCCTTTTGTTATCTCTTGAGATTTATTTGCAATTCAGAAGACATTATTCCATATTTCTGTACAAACAGCTGTATGATACACACACACACACACATATAACCCAAACAGGTAAGGAATAGCAAACCACAAGCTCACTTTCCACTTATAAACCAAATCCAATTATTTCCTGCAATATACGACATTGGTGTACATACGGAACCCCCAGCTAAAGGCTCAACTGTTAATTTCAATAGGGAAAACAAATGTATAAACGAAACATGTTGAATGAGATAGCCAATAGATGGAATGCCATGTGTGTAGAGTAATATGAATCGGGTTTAATATTAGAGGACATACATGGTGGACCACGCTCTTGTTACATCCTGAATAGACTACTGCAGTGCACTCTACGTGGGGGCTGCCTTTGAAGACTGCCCGGAAGCTTCAACTAGTCCAACGGTCGGCAGCCAGGTTGCTCACCAGAGCGGCATTCAGGGAGCACACAACCCCTCTGTTATGCCAGCTCCACTGGCTGCCGACTAGCTTCCGAGCACAATTCAAAGTGCTGGTTTTAATCTTTAAAGCCCTAAACGGTTCTGGCCCAAACTACCTATCCAAACGTATATCCTGTTAAGAACCATCATGAAATTTAAGATCACCTGGAGAGGCCCTGCTCTCAATCCCACTGCCATCGCAAACGCGACTGGTGGGGATGAGGAACAGGGCCTTCTCAGCAGTGCCCCCCCCCCCGTCTGTGGAACGCACTCTCCAGGAACATCAGACTGACCACCTCCCTCCTGTCTTTTAGAAGGAAACTTAAGACTTGGCTAAGGGACTAAGCATTCGACCAGTGAATGGCAGCAAGTGAAAGAAGACTTAAGACAACTCGTGACAATGAATTGACCCAGACACATGTTTTAATCTATTATTTTAATATTTTTCATGTATTGTTGAATGTTTTATGAAGTTGGCATCGTATGGTGCTTCTGTGAGGCCTGCCCTGAGTCCTCCCCCAGGGAGAGAAGGGCAGAGTATAAATATAGGAAATAAAATAAATAAATACATGTATGTGTTTGTTGCTGTTGTGTGCCTTCAAGTTGTTTGATTTATGACGAACCTAAGATGAAGCTATTTATGAGGGTTTCTTTCTTCAGATTTATTCTGATAGTGCTTGCCATTGTGTTCCTCTGAGGCTGAGAGAGCATGATTTGCCCAAGGTCACCCAATGGGTTTCCATGGCCAAGTGTGAATTTGAAATCTTGTACCCAGAGTCATAATTTTTAATGTATTGTTTTGTGTGTGTGTGTGAAATCTTTCATTTATTAAGTAATTTTTTCACTGCTTACAGGATTTCATATTTGATCTAGATTTTAAATTCCTTTTCATCAGTACCTCATAAACCCCTCTCCCCCAACTTTTGCCTGAGAATAAGTATTTTTGAACACTAAAGATGTACTGTTGTGTTTACTTCCCTAATAGAAAGTCACAAATTCCATGAAGCAACGCCCAAAGAGATTTTTGCACAACTGCTAATTCATGCTGCTTTGAAGTGTTAATCTAAAGCTAACCAAAAACCTGCTAGGTGCCTCCTTATTGAACGTGATGAACGGAGACCTAATTCACCGTTAACTGAGCAACTGATGCGGAAAACCACTGCTCTTCATGCCCTGGGATGAACCTTGTCTTGATCAATATATTTCTAATTGACATCTATTATGGCAATTAGTAATTCACACTGTGGAGACAATTTTACCTAAATCCAAAACAGCCAAGATTTTCAGAACTCTACAGTTCCAAGATTTATTAATATTTTTAATGTATTGTTGAATGTTTTATCAAGAGAGAAAAGTGCAGTCTAGATAAATGTAATGATAGTAAATATAATAATACAGCACTCCAACCACTACTCAACCACTGCAACCAACACTCAAAAGATTGGCGTTGCATATTATTTATTTACGACCTTTATATGCCGCCCTTCTCACCCCAAAGGGGACTCAGAGCAGCTTACAAGTAATATGTAAATACAATATATTATATTATTACCATAGCACAATATTAGTATTATACATTACTATATTGTACTTTACCATTGTCCTGTAATATTATTAGTAATGTTACATGTAATATAAAAAATATAATTATAATATTGTAATAATAATATATTGTATTACATTATAATATTATCAATATTATATGTATATACAATATATTATATTATATTATATTATATTATATTATATTATATTATATTATATTATATTATATTATATTATATTATATATGCCTTGTAGGCTGTGCCAACTTTAGTAATCAGCTAATATCAGAACATCAAGATTATTGAGTTAATTCTAAATTACAGTTGACTGTTGTAGTCTGAATTGGCCCCTGTTTATGACAAGATGAGCTCTGACTGTACAGCCCTAGGAGCATATTTTGTTCTAAACATACAAAACAGATCAGAAGTCATTTCCTAAATACAAAAGTTATCATGTCATAATTCATTCCCACCTTATTTTTAAGGGCATTCCTGGTCATATAATAAAGCTTGTCACACGGTATCCCTCTGTCTATCTATCTATCTATCTATCTATCTATCTATCTATCTATCTATTGATCTATCTATCTAGTTGGGGAAAGTTATCTAGAATAAAATAATACATAAACTATTCATCATAACTTATAATCGTAATCTTTTAAATGAACACATGAAGGATTTGTTTAATTTTGAAAAGGAAGCACAATGAATATCTTACTTTGACGAGCTCCTGCTGGGCCCAGATCTGGATGGGTTCGACCTGCTGGGGTGTCTGGGTTTGGATTCCATATGTGTTCAGGAAAACTTGTAGACTGTATTTTAAAAGGAAATATAGTACACAGTGAGGAGGAATTCTGAGTGCAACAGAGCTAATTGTAAATATAGAACCTTGTCAAAAACTGTCTTTTTCCAAGTAGCTCTTCAAAGAATTTAATTTTTGAAAGCTATCATAGCCAAGTTTTGATCTGAATTAAGTCTTCTCCAGTCTAACATTTCTGAAGTCATTTCTATGGCACGGGACTTCAGCGATACCTGGAACAAAGCAAATTGAGCAGCAGCCAGAAGTGCAATGAGCAAAAATAACTTTGTTGTAGGCAGATGGTATTTGTGACACAAGTTCCAATGAATCATCTGAGCAACGGTGTTGTGCCTCTGCTTGTAGTCTGTCTGTGCAATCTTCTTGCAGCAGCTGAGGATGTGATCTATTGTTTCATCTGCTTCCTTGCAGAGTCTACATTTGGGATCTGTCATTGACTTTTCAATTCAGGGAGCATACAACCCCTCTGTTGCGCCAGCTCCACTGGCTGCCAATTTGCTACCGAGCACAATTCAAAGTGCTGGCGTTGGCCTATAAAGCCCTAAACGGTTCCGGCCCAAGTTACCTATCCGATCACATCTCTGCCTACGAACCCACTAGGACTTTGAGATCTTCCGTGGAGGCCCTGCTCTCGATCCCGCCTGCATCACAGGCACGGCTGGTGGGGACGAGAGACAGGGCCTTCTCGGTGATGGCCCCTTGGCTGTGGAACGCCCTTCCCACGGACATCAGATCGGCTCCATCATTAATGGCATTTCGGAGAAAAGTGAAAACCTGGTTATTTGAACAGGCGTTTAAATAGGCAGTGCAATGAATATAGGAACGGAACAATGGATGACGAGTTTGGATCATGTTTTCAGTTATGAGACGCCAGTGAATGGTTACTATGTTAATTGCTTAATCTGTTATTGTGTTAATTGTTTTTAAATATCCTGAATTTTTGCTACTATTGTTGTTAACTGCTGTGAGTCGCCTAAGGGCTGAGAACAGCGGTATACAAATAAAGTGAATAAATAAATAAATTTGATGGCATTGGTTCGAATGGCTTGTTCTTGAGCTGCCAGAATCAGGCCCTCCTTTGCCTCCTTTTTCAGAGTTCCATTTGTGAGCCACAGCCATGTTTTTTCTTTGTCCATTTGGCTCTCAATTTTTCCCAGGAAGTGTCCATGGAGAGCCTTCTTTCGCCAGTTTTCTTTTCTGCTCTGGATTGTGTTTTTACAGTATTCACTCTTTGACTTTTGCACTTTAAGCATTATTATTATTATTATTATTATTATTATTATTATTATTATTAACAACATTCAGGCGTCCCCTGGGCAACTTCCTTGCAGACGGCCAATTCTCTCACACCAGAAGCAAATTGCAGTTTCTCAAGTTGCTCCTGACATGAAAAAAAATAGTAACTTTTAAATCTGAATCTGGAAACTTGTCAGTGATCTCAATGACTTACCGTTGGCTTTCAGCAATCAATGCAACATGGACCACTAGGTCATTTTCCAGTGGACCCTAAAAAAGATAAGAGTAAAAAGACACTTTTATTAAAAGGCGAGCCCAATGCAAACAATAGATATTCATCAATATGACTGACATCTTCTGGCTGCGTTGCTGTTTTCCCCTCTCTCTTTATTGCCTACTAATCAGTTTGATGGTGCAGACAGGAAAATGGATCTTCAGAGAAGTAACATATATAAATCTTGAACTGTATTGTCAATACATTTTGGGGTGGTTTGACATTGAGATGTTAAGGATAGGCTTCTGTATTTTTTCCCCTTTACTGTATTACACTTATGGAAAAGAAGGAATCTTTGGTGTTATATTTATTAGTCTTGGCTGACAGCATGAGAAAGAACTGATTGTGTTTTTGTCAGAGAGTGTGAAGGTGTTGATGACATTCAAAGAATGTGGTATATCCCCATTTTTATTTTGATATGTACGTCTACAAAGGAAACCACTTATGTGATTGCATACAGATCCTCTTCTGCACAAATCGTATCTGTCAATACAGATTAACCAGAGTATGTGTGACTCCACACTGTTTGTACATCGGACCATATATAGAATTCTGAATTGGAACATACGGATAAACATGCTAATTCAACATGAACCCTTCTATATAATGGTTTTCTCACTGCCCAGCTGTGATGACAATGGCCAATCTTTGGACAGCGCAGTCCATTCATACAGAACGTGCTTAGAAAAGACTGCTGCTTATTTTGGTAGAAAACTAGCAATATCTGTTAAGGTAAAACTTCCACAGGGTAAATTTTTAAGTTAGTTTCCTCTGATAGGGATTGTATTCAGGAGCATGTTCCACTGATTACGAGAGAACAGAAGCAATTGCAACCCCTTTAACAAAATAAATAAATAAAAGCCCAAGTTAAGGCAGTGCAAACCAGAATTACTGTATATGCTCGAGTATAAGCTTAGTTTTTCATACGAAAACTGACTGGCACAACCTGGGGATCACAACCAGACACAGTGAAGACATCTGCCCTTGCGCTATGCTACTCTGCTGCTGAGTATGCATGCCCAGTGTGGAACACATCTCACCATGCTAAAACAGTGGATGTGGCTCTTAATGAGACATGCTGTCCAACGTGGGATCCAATACAACAGCCAACAGAGTGATCTTGTCTGCTGTGGACTCATCTTGTTGTGCTTCAAATAATAATAATAATAATAATAATAATAATAATAATAATAATAATAATAACATTGACAAAATCACGGTGTTCGACTTGTGATTTTGTGATAGAAAATCCAGCATATAGATCTCATTTGCTGTGACATACTGTCTTTTTGTTTCAGAATAATAATAATAATAATAATAATAATAATAATAATACAAGCAGAGGCATAACACTGTTACTCAGATGGTTCATTGGAACTAGGACCACACATACCATCTGGATGTAGGTGAACTACAACTCCAAAACTCAAGGTCAATGCCCACCAAACCCTTCCAGTATTTTGTGTTGGTCATGAGAGTTCTGTGTGCCAAGTTTGGTTGAATTCCATCATTGGTGGAGTTCAGACTGCTCTTTGATTGTAAGTGAACTATAAATCCCAGAAACCACAACTCCCAAATGTCAAAGATTATTTTCCTCAAACTCCACCAGTGTTCACATCAGGGCATATTGAGTATCTGTGCCAAGTTTGGTCCAGATCCATCATTGTTTAAGTCCACAGTGCTCTCTGGATGTAGGTGAACTACAACTCCAAAATTCAAGGTCAATGCCCACCAAACCCTTCCAGGATTTTCTCTTGGTCATGGGAGTTCTGTCTGCCAAGTTTGATTCAATTCCATCATTGGTGGAATTCAGAATGCTCTTTGATTGTAGGTGAACTATAAATCCCAGCAACTACAACTCCCAGATGCCAAGGTCTATTTTCCCCAAACTCTACCAGGGTTCACATTTGTGCATATTAAATATTTGTGCCAAATTTGGTTCAGATCCCTTATTGATTGGGTCCACAGTGCTCTCTAGATGTAAGTGAACTACAACTCCAAAACTCAAGGTCAATGCCCACCAAACCCTTCCAGGATTTTGCATTGGTCATGAGAGTTCTGTGTGCCAAGTTTGGTTCAATTCCATCATTGGTGGAGTTCAGAATGCTCTTTGATTGTAGGTGAACTATAAATCCCAGCAACTGCAACTCCCAGATGACAAAATCAATCCCTTTCCACCCTCACCAGTATCCAAATTTGGGCATATTGGATATTTGTGCCAAATTTGGTCCAGTGAAGGAAAATACATCCTGCATATCAGATATTCACATTACGATTCATAACGGTAGCAAAATTAAGGTTATGAAGTAGGTTGAGAAACAATGCTACAGGGTTTTTCTCGGTATGCAGATCAAGCAAGCAAATTGGGAGCTGCGTATGTCAGTGTACAAGCCCAAATTCTTTTGGCTTCGGGGCAATTTATACACTCCAGCAGCATGCAACTGCTGGCTCAGATCTTTGCAGGAGTTCCTGTGCACGATGGGGACAAAATTAAAACAGTGCAATCTTTGGGTTGTTGTAGGTTTTTTCGGGCTATATAGTCATGGTCTAGAGGCATTTTCTCCTGATGTTTCGCCTGCATCTATGGCAAGCAACCTCAGAGGTAGTGAGGTCTGTTGGAACTAGGAAAAAGGGTTTATATATCTGTGGAATGACCAGGGTGGGACAAAGGACTCTTGTCTGCTGGAGCTAGGTGTGAATGTTTCAACTGACCACCTTGATTAGCATATAATGGCCTGACAGTGCCTAGAGCAAACTTTTGTTGAGAGGTGATTAGATGTCCTTGTTTGTTTCCTCTCTGTTGTGCTGTTGTAATTTTAGAGGGTTTATTTATCTTTGGCGACCATTATATGCAATCTGGCTACCAGTATTAAAAAAACTCTAAAATTACAACAGCAAAACCGCAGAGGGAAAACAATCAGGAACATCTAATCCCCTCTCAACAAAAGATTGCTCCAGGCACTGCCAGGCAATCAAATGCTAATCAAGGTGGTCAGCTGAAACATTCACACCTAGCTCCAGCAGACAAGAGTCCTTTGTCCCACCCTGGTCATTCCACAGATATAAAAACCCTTTTCATGGTATTCCCTGTAGTAACCTACGGATGTGAGAGCTGGACCTTGGGGAGGGCTGAGTGAACGAGGATCGATGCTTTTGAACTGTGATGTTGGAGGAGAGTTCTGAGAGTGCCTTGGACTGCGAGAAGATCCAACCAGTCCATCCTCCAGGAAATAAAGCCTGACTGCTCACTGGAGGGAAAGATACTAGAGACAAAGTTGAAGTCCTTTGGCCACATCATGAGGAGACAGCAAAGCCTAGAGAAGAGAATGATGCTGGGGAAAGTGGAAGGCAAAAGGAAGAGGGGCCGACCAAGGGCAAGATGGATGGATGGCATCCTTGAAGTGACTGGACTGACCTTGAAGGAGCTGGGGGTGGTGACGGCCGACAGGGAGCTCTGGCGTGGGCTGGTCCATGAGGTCACGAAGAGTCGGAGACGACTGAACGAATGAACAACAACAATAAACCCATTTTCCTAGTTCCAACAGACCTCACTGCCTCTGAGGATGCTTGCCATAGATGCAGGCGAAATGTCAGGAGAGAATGCCTCTAGAACATGGCCATATAGCCCGAAAAAAACCCTACAACAACCCAGTGATTCCGGCCATGAAAGCCTTCGACAATCTATTGAAATATTTCTCCAAACTTACTAATATAACTTTACTGTGCAGTAAAGGAATGAAAAGAAACATCTCAAATTAATGCAAGCATCTGGTTTTTATTGCAGGGAGAGGTTACCAATATATAAAATCGCAGACACAAGTGTCCACCTGCTTCCTTTAATGTTACGGCCTCCTGAAATAAACCCACTGAGCCAAAACAGCAAATTTTATGAAAATGAACAAAATCTGGCTACCAGTATTAAAAAAACTCTACAATAGCACAACAACAGAGAGGAAACAAACAAGGACATCTAATCACCTCTCAACAAAAGATTGCTCCAGGCCCTGCCAGGCAATCAAATGCTAATCAAGGTGGTCAGCTGAAACATTCACACCTAGCTCCAGCAGACAAGAGTCCTTTGTCCCACCCTGGTCATTGCACAGATATATAAACCCTTTTTCCTAGTTCCAACAGACCTCACTACCTCTGAGGATGCTTGCCATAGATGCAGGCAAAACGTCAGGAGAGAATGCCTCTAGACCATGGCCATTTAGCCCGAAAAAACCTACAACAACCCTGTGATTCCAGCCATGAAAGCTTTCGACAATACAGTGCAGTCTTTCTCTGCTAAAGTAATGGGCTCTCCTTGGCCGGAAAAGGGTTGGCCGCCCATTCCCAGTCCCAGGTTTCAGGAATGATCAAGGTAGGGACAGGTTGTAGTCTGTTAGATGGAAGAAAACAAGAATGGAATACTGAAACTTCCTCCACCTCAACTCGGGAAGGTGATTATATTCCAGTCATGCAGCTCTGTCTTCAACTGTGCCGGCTTGGATAAAAACAACATATAATGCAGTTGGGAAAAATCACAGAAACCGGGGGACTCCTGTATGCGCAGTTTCCGACTGTTATTAAGAAAATTCTGTTTTGATCCGTCTCACATGACACTAGGATTGATAGTTTGGGGCACGCTCTCTCTCTCTCTTTTAAGAACGTTAGTAAAAAAACAGACTGTACAGCAGGATTATTAGTGTCCCAACTGACTATATAATCCCCTTGAAAAGCAACAGACAGGTACACAAACCTGCACAGACAGCTTTCGGGTATAACTAAGGAAAGGTGGGAGAAGAAAACAACAAACTGTTCTAAAATCAAGGCATTGGGTTGCTGTAGGTTTTTCGGACTGTATTTCTATGTTCCAGAAGCATTCTCTCCTGCTGTTTCGCCTGCATCTATCGCAGGCATCCGCAGAGGTTGTGAGGTCTGTTGGAACTAGGAAAAAAGGGTTTATATATATGTGGAATGACCAGGGTGTGAGAAAGAACTCTTGTCTGTTGGA